AGGACTGTGCTGGGGTTCAGGTGGCTGCTCTAAGCACTGGCATTGGGCCATGGAAAGGACACACTGACTGCCTGAGAAGTCTGAACACAGATTTTAAACACTCCCCTGCTAGATTTTAGCACAAACTGATTCAGAGGATTGTCCTTGTATCACCTAGTTGGTCATTTCCATCCTTAGTTTCAAAACTGTTTGAATGTAACCTTATCGCTGAGTCTCCAATGCTAATTACTTTCCTACCTGCCTTTTTCCAGCCCCTACTGTAGATGGTGCCACCCATGGTACCAGTTTGACTGATATTTCCGTCCAGCATTGCTGCTTGGATGCATTAAACTCTTTACTGCAAACTAACCTACTACAGACACATACATTCCTCCAGGCTGAGGCTCACACTGATGCCCACTTTGTCCTGGGAGTGAGGGGTGCAAGGTGGAGGGGCTGTGAGGAGGCGGGGGGTGAAGAAGAAATGTCTCCTTGGCCATGCATGGATAGATGAGGCAAGCAGGGCCTCCATGAGGAGAGAAGAGGGTGGGAAAGGAGCAAAGAAACTTGCCACCATCTTGTGACTAAATCCAAAACAAGGGGTTGAATTTAAAACACATATTAATCCCCCAGATTTACTGCTGGGGAGCTGCTGGGAGGTGGGTAACCTCCTCCCCAGGATGTTTGTGTGCAGGGGGTCAAGGAGGGAGGAGATGCTGGGCAAAACACAGGGAGGCCAAATAACTCCATGGCCCACCTGTGGGCAGGTGCATGCCTCTGCCAGTTGAGGCCCAGCCAGGAGCTGTGGGGTACAGAGGGATGGGCTGCAGATCTTTTTTTTTTTATTTGCATAGTAAAATCAGCTCTGGCTGAATGCCCGAGCCCCCTGGATGTGCTCAGAGAGGGCACAAAGCCAGCTGTGACGCTTGCTGGTTGGGAACAACACAGTGGTCTTCCCACCGGGAGCTCTTTAGGTCCAGGGAGCTTCTTTTCCAAGCTCTCTTTTGAAATTGTCACTGCACTTTGAATTTCGTCTCTGGTGTACTTTTATCAGACACAACATCACAAATCTCAGGCTGAAGTTTGCACTCACCTCTCCACACCAGTCAAATTGGCTATTTTCCTAACCAGCTCAGAGCAGGGGTCAGCAGCTCCCCTTTGCATGCTGCTTTCCATGTTCTCAGATTCTAAGTCATCCCAGAGTGGCCACAAAATACGAAATGCAAAAAAGGGGAAGAGGAACAGCTTTGCTATATCTTTCAGGAGGAAGAAAGCCAGAGGATTTAAGAGCACAGCCATAGAGCTTTGCAGGTCTACAAAGGCTCACACACTGCTGGGATGGTCAGTCTGGTCATGGAGTAGCTCCAGTTGGACGGGACTTCATCCTCCCAGCCTCCCCGAGTCCTGTGCTGTGTCCCCCTTTGAAGTCAGAGAACTCTTCTCCATTGTGGAAAACAGTATCTGGCACCCCATGACAGGACAAAAAGCAACAGACACAAACCCAAAATACAGGAAATTCCATTTAAAGAGAAGAAAACACTTACTTACTTAGAGGGTGATGGAGCAGGCTGCCCAGAGGCTGTGGCACCTCCATCCATAGAGATATTCACAACCCTATTAGATGTGTGCTTTGATCAGGGGGAGTGGACCAGATAATCTTCAGAGGTCCCTTCCCACCAGGTCTGCTAGGAGTGTGTACCCTCCTGTGGACGCGGGAGCAGAGAGGGTCATTCACAAACTTTAGCAGCTCTTTGTCTCAGGGCTGGTCTGTTGTGCTTAGTGATCCTCACCTGCCAAGAGCCCATGAAACAGCAAGGCTGGCTGCAAAGACAACTTCCCCAATCTTTTCTCAAACTCTTCTGATAGGAATTATGACTGTTTTCATGTCCCTCCTCTCTCTATCCTACATTGACTGGAACACACAAAGCCCTCTCTGACTCCCTGGCTTGGTGTCTGTCTTGGCATCCAGGTGCAGGACCCCATGCTGGGAGGGACTTGGGCATGTGCCATCTTTCCCAGAACATGGTTTCCAAAGCATGAGCATTTTGGGATCATGGGAGGAAGCACCAGCTCTGCCTTCTCTTGCAAATTGGTTGGAGTGAACTTTCTGTTGGCAAGCTCATGAAAACAAGGTTCCCCCTAACAAGGCAACATGGAAAGAAAGACCCAGGCATTGGCTTCTATGGGCTCTGTTTTGGATCCCACTGATTTATTGCTGGCTTCAATGAGGACTGCCAGTACTGTACACCAAGCAGGCTCAGACCCTTCATTCATGTTTAATGAAAGGCAGAGTTTTCCTAGAGATCAAAAAGCTCTCTGCTTTTTACGAGGTTGATTCATGCAGGCTTTGATGTGAATTGCCCTTCAAACAGCCACTCGCCAGGTGAGCAGGGAAGCCAGCCTGAGCTTTTAGCTAGCAATACTATAAGCCTCATCTATATTCATGCAGTCAAATCTCTTCCCGTTTGAGGAGATCATGCAATTAACCTTTCCACAGCAGGCAGAGCTAAGACTGCCCACTTACCTATATGCTTTCTGGTCACCTATGTGGTGGCATCTAAGGGTGAACTTGGTATTATCAACTGAGCCCCAGGGCTGGTGTGGGGGGAGATGTCAGAAAATGCAGCGCTGACTCATGATCAAAATACCCAGTCTGGCTTCCTACCTCTGTATTGACGCACTGCAAAACCTTGGGGAAAAGTATCTCCCACATGCCACCCACCTATGTACAGCTTGCCTTGGTGACGTGTCTCACAGCCACCAATGCAGCCACTCTGGTGCCCAGTCAGATGTATCTTGATACTCATGTCCACAGCACAGATGGTGCTGGATCAGAGGGACCGAACACCTTACAGGTGATCAATACTGTGACCATCTGTTTTATGGCCACTTGTAGTCCCAATATTCTCCCATCTTTTGGCCAGCTTGGGGGAGCAACCTAGTGCATCAAAGCTGCTTTGTGAACTGGAACAGAGATGCAGGAGGGCACCAACACCACAGTCCACTTCTCTTAGGTCTGTGCTGTAGGAGCTAAGCCTGGCCCAGCCATAGCTATCCCATCTCATTACCGTTTGTCTTAGTTCTGGCAAGATGGGGAGGAGTCTGTATGGTCAGCTCTGTGCTGGCAAACGTGCCCAGGATCTCTGCACCAGAACACGCTCAGGTCTGCAGAGCTGACAGCAACGAGTTGAACTAAGCTGTGCCCTTGCGAAAGGAGAGAGGGACGGGAGGGATGGGGAAGCTTTGCACCCCAGTATCAACAAGTGGGACATGTCCACCACAGACCTGAGCTGGCTCTGCCTGGGCTGCTTCTGGTTCACAAAGAACAGGGAGGGCAATGCAGGTATTCAGGTCTGCTTGGGTCCAGATCGCCTGGTGTTGCTACTGAATTAATAAGCCCAGGTAATGTGGTGTGGCTAAACTGTCAGCAACCCCGTGCTGTACAGAGCAGCCACCCCAGCACCCAGCTAGCTCAGACCTCCCTGCACCATGCACTGGCTGCATGGGAAATGTGCCCTTAGACACCTTAGCCTCGGGTGAAGGCACATGGCCAGATCCCAGCCCCAACCTCTCCTGCTAAACGGAGGACTACCTACCCAGGTAGTCCTTGCTCTGCCCTTTCAGAGGAGTGGCAGCTCCACTGCAGCCTCAGCCCCCAGGGCTGCTGGTACTGGCTGGCCTGACGGGCAGGAAGGGCTCTGCACTGTCCATGCCTGCAGGTGATCTGGTACTGCTGGGAAACACAGTCCCTCAGGGAACAGTGGCTGCCCTTGGGCCAGGGAGGTCACTGGCAGGATTTACTCATCGTCCTTGTATTCCCAATTCCTTCACAACCCAAATTTGTCAAGGGACTTGGATTATACCCACAAGAGGCAGCTGCAAGAAAATTGTTCAGCCTCCATCACTGTCATTCAGAGCAAAGTGCACTCAAGCCCTTCAGAAATGCTCATTGAAAGTGAGTGAAAAGAAGAAATCTCAGGGGAAAACCTGAATCTCAGAGCTCTGCTGGTCAGGGGGCTTCTCCTGAGAAATCAGAGGTACCCAGGGCTCAGGTGCTCTCAGCAAGACCCACCTGCAGAGCATCATGCATCCCCTGCACCCTTGCAGCCCTCTCTCCTTTCTATGCCTATTTTTCCCCAGCCCCAAAGCCAGGAAAAGCACTGTGCCTCTGGATGTTGCCAAACTACAGTTTGTAGGATATTTTAGCAAGCCCTGAGAGCAGAGCACAGGGCTGTGAAAACCAAGGAGCTACAAGTGTCATCTTCTAAGTCAGGCTGAAATGTGGATGTTTGCAGATCTTGGCAATACAGATACAACATCACAGAGCACTGAAAGCTTTATCCCTCCTTCCTCTGCCTTTCCTTTTCTCCTTCCCTCTGCAGAATAAAACAGAAAAAGCATTTCCCAGTAAAGCAGATACAGAGGAGGGGGCTGGCAGACCTGCACAGTATTTATATTAGATGCTGCTGATGTGACACAGACATGGAGGGAAGGGGGAAGTGCTGGCATCCTGCTGTTCCATGTGTGCTGGCACTGGCACGGCAGAGGTGAGGCATCCCATTCGGTCGTGGGAGGAGCACCCACCTCCTGCATTTGCAAACAGGTTCACAGAGGCCGACCAGTCAACTCCTCTTCCTGCCCAGGGCACAGATTGCTCTGAGGAGGGCACAGGTAACACCTGCACCCTCCAGGCAAGGGGACCAGTGGCTGGGAGACCGAAGAAATGGAGATGTGGAGAAGAACAAAGCCAGGTTTAGCAAACCAGAAACAACCCAGGTCCCACAGACCCAAAGAAGAGCAGGAGGAAGCAAACTCTGAACTTTTGCAAGCAGCAAAATCTGCAGAAAACATTGTTTTAATTTCCTACTTTAAATATTGGGGCTGTAACAGTGCATGAATAAATCAGTGAACTGCACAGAGACTTGTTGATGCCCATCTTTGAAGAGGGGGGGCTGAAAGAATGAAGTAAACTAAGGCCACATCTTAGACCCCAGTGGGGGAAGGAATCACATCAAGAGAAGATGGACAAGTTTCGGATGATCTTCCAGTTCCTCCAGTCCAACCAGGAATCCTTCATGAATGGCATCTGTGGGATCATGGCCCTCGCCAGTGCCCAGATGTACTCAGCCTTTGATTTCAACTGCCCCTGCCTGCCGCACTACAACCTGGCCTATGGGCTGGGCATCCTCCTGGTACCTCCCTTCATCTTGTTCCTGCTGGGCTTCGTGCTGAACAACAATGTCTCCATGCTGGCAGAGGAGTGGAGGAGGCCCCAGGGCCAGCGAGAGAAGGACCCGGCTGTCCTGCGCTACATGTTCTGCTCCATGGCCCAGCGGGCCATGATCGCCCCGGCAGTCTGGGTCTCAGTGACGCTGCTGGACGGCAAGTGCATCACCTGTGCCTTCTGCACCTCGGTGCCTGTGGAGACCCTGGGCAACACTAGCCACCCCGGCCTCTCCCAGGGAGAGATGAAGCGGGTCCTTGCCCGCATTCCCTGCAAGGAGATCTACAATGGACAGGAGCTCATTGCCAATGAAGTGGCCGTCAGGTACCTGCGCTGCATCTCGCAGGTAAGAGGCATCATGGCTGTGCCCTTGCTGGTGGTTTAGGGTTAAGCACTGCCAGCCTTAGTTCTTCCCTTGAGGGAATCTCCTTGTTGAAATCAGGCTGCAGGAGGAGAGGGTGGTGATTTTGCAAGGGTACAAGTTGTTCAGACTCAGCTCCAGTGTTACACCTCCAGCGGTGCAGAGATTGAAGCTGTAGGTCACCTGATAATTCAGTCCCCCTCCTGCCTGGGCAGCCTGGGGCCGCAGGGCAGCAAAAGGTGTATGAAGAGATTCATTTAGAATCTTGCATCCAGAAGGGGCTGATGTAGATATTATTGCCTGTCTGGTGGGCTGTCACCCCCTCCCATAACCCACTGGTTGCCTGCAGTTGCTCTTGCTGCTTATTACAAACATATGCAAGTAGTGGGCTAATAACCATCTAGGCCACTTGCCTCTGCCACTTGCATGAAAACAACCAATATGTATTTATTGACCAGGGAGCATCTGAAACAACGTTAGCTGCGAGTCAGAGGACTCACCTAGACCCAGGTGAGGCATGGTTGTATCAAAGGCAGGACTGAGGGATGGGTGCAGGATTCAGTCTGGTGTTATTTATGGTCACTGCCTGCTGATGCTGTACAAGGCAAGAAGTGGAGAGGTGCTGCCTATGTGGGTGCTGCAAACAAAGTTTCAGTGCAGATGCACTGACATGGTACGTAGGGTCTCCTCATCCAGCTTTGCAGTGTAAATGCAGCCAAAAATCAAACAGCCCAAAGTGGAGCCAGGCTCACTCTCAGCCTGGGGAGCTCCTGCCGGCTGGTGGGAAGTGCCAGACGGGTGCTCTGCCTGCCTATGACATGTCCAGTTCCCTCCTCATCCCTGCAGGCTCTGGGCTGGTGCTTTATCCTGCTGATGACCACACTGGCTTTCTTGGTCAGATCCCTCCGGCCCTGTTTCACCCAAGCCGCTTTCCTGAAGAGCAGGTACTGGTCTCACTACATTGACATCGAGCGCAAGCTGTTTGACGAGACATGTGCGGAGCATGCCAGAAGCTTTGCCAAGGTCTGCATCCAGCAGTTCTTCGAGGGTATGAGCACGGACCTGGCGTCTGCTCACTGCCACCCACCCAGAAAAGCCCCTGCAGATGTGGGGGAAGCTGCTGAGAAGCTCCTGGGTATCACTGACCAGGGCACCATGAACACAGCCCTGAAGAGCTGGCACAGATGTAAGCCCCCGCTGCACCTCCACCCACCTGCCCTCCCCAGTGGCAATGGCTGGGCAGGGGAAGAACAGCCCCCCCCCCACCCCCCTGTGCCCCGAAGGGAGATGGCTGCCTACTACAGCCGGGTGTGAGGGGGCGCAGGGCTGTGCAGAAGCAGAGCCACGCTGCTGGGAGAGGGGCTGCAGAGAGGGTGGACAGGGAGGTCCAAGCTGGGCAGAGGTGAGGGGCACTGCCATGGGGGCTGCAGGGGGACAGACATCCAAAGGGCTCGGCAGTGCCGGTGCGATCTCATCTGCTCTCACATCCAATCCTATAGCATTGGTAATTCAGGCAACATTTTGTGCCGAGCCGGATGGCTACTCAAGGTCATGATGAACGAGCCCCGTGGATGCTGAAGGGTGCAATGTGGCAGCCAAATAGATGTGCCATGTGTTCCACATCACCAAGCACCAGGTTTGTGCTGTTGCAGTTGCCAAGGCAGACACTACCAAATGTGCAAAACTTCCCTTCTTTTACGACGTGCTCAGCACTGGGCAGCGCATGTGGGTTTAGGTCGTATTTAAAAACCCCTTGTGGGAAACAAGCTGGGGGTGCCCCTTTCTCATGTTAAGCTGTGAAACCCTAAAAATCTCCCTATTACTCCTCCACACACTATGTCCCCATGGATGCACACAGCTTCCAAGCCAAGAAAACCTTTAAAATAAATTAGATCCAAGCAATGAGCTAGTGAAGAGACATCCCATATTGCATGTGATGGGAGCAGCGTGGTTGGTGTCACAGGTACTATTCAATGAGGAGCCCACAGAGATGCTCCTCAAAGGGAATGTCTAGACAGGAGAGCAACTATTATTCAGCAGCATGGAGGGTGGGGGCCAGGCCAACCTCTTGCCACAGATTTGCTGCAGGACACTTTGTTCTTGCCATTTTACCCAGATTCCTCCCTGACACAAAGACTGATGTTAAAAACCCACCTGGATGTTTGTTTAAGAAGCCAAATAAATAATTCAGGCTTACTGTTCAAGCTCTGTGCTCAGGCACAAGGATTCATAAAAGCTATTTACAAAAGCTGTTGGTGTTTCTTTACTTGAATACAATGCAAAGGACTGGGGGGTGACTTGCAGAAAACAGACCCTACAACTCAGAGAGAGTTATAAAGCAGGTACATTTACTCCAGCACCAGGGTGCAAGGGGATTTCTCCACAAAGCTTGCACCCCCACCACACATTTTACCAAAAACTTAAGAGTGTGAATATACATACTCATTAGATTACATAACACAAATATACACATGCATAAGTAAGGCTGGGTTAGTTCTAGATGCTGGTGTCATTTATGTTCTCTCTGCACCTGCGCATTGCCTTCTGGTGGTTGTCTTCGGGGGTCTTTGGGAGGAAGGCTCGTAGTCTTTCTCACCTTGTACTTTTTCCCAGAGCATGCACAGATTCTCTTGGCCAATTTCTTGAATAACGAGAGTGTTTTTCAGCTGATTTACTCTTTCTGTCTTATCTAAGAGAACCAATAGAACTAACACCATCCGTATATGGCTACCTTTACTCGTTACTAAGACCCAACCAGCTAGAGCACATCTATTTCCCAAGGACAAAACCATAATATGAACACTGCAGTTCCTGGTAGATTTTTACAGTAAACTGCTTTGTTTTGATGAACACAGTAGTCCTGGGTAAAATTCCACAGAACAGTCTGGGCAAGCAGGATTCTTAGTAATATTAAAACCCACTATAAGTAATACTATAAGTAAGTAAATAAGTTGCTAAACAGTTTGCTATAAGTAAATAAGTCTCAAAACAAGTAATCATTTCTCAGTATCAGGGGCCCTGGGCTAAGCCTGGGGTGCTGAGGCCATGCAAGTTGGCACATTTTACCGGTGCATGGCAGCCAGCGGTGAACTGGAGCTGTCACTCAGAAAAGAAGCCAGGGAGGTGCTGCCAACCCTACGCAATACCAGGTGGCTGCCCATTTCCATAGAAATTGAGGATGACGGGATGCACGCCCTTGAGTTGACTATGGAAATTGCAGCCCGGAAGAGCGTTCCCTGTTGGCCCTGATTTTATTACCAATACGCAGAAAGAAAACCCCTTTTGAGGGATGAGTTTTACCCCTGCCGCGTCCCTGTCAAAATGCTCATCCCCTCATTCTTGTTTAAACTGACTTATTATAGCTGGCTGGTAACTGAGTTGACTGTCATTTGCATAAACCTTAATTATCAGTGTGTAACTCCACAGAGGCTGTGGGGAGAGAACAAAGGAACAAAATGACGAGGAAATTCTCCCAGCAGCTGTGAGAGAGCCTTAGCAAGCCCATAGTCAAGGGCAGGCTGAATGTGGCTGACTCTCAGGAGAAAGGAGCGTGACACAGATTTATCATTAATCTTCACACCCCAAACTTTAATTAAGGCACCTGCCCAGAAATTAGTAGGCACAAAACCTGATTTACAAAGCAAAGGAGATTAAAAGATAAAGGCAGTTTCCACTCCTATTCAGCACTGTTAATGGCTCACCCAGAAAGGCCCACTCAGGGTACCCACAATGGTGAGCAGCATTCAGGACTGGCAGGCTCCACAGCAGAGCCATTAAGATACCAAAAAAATCCCCCATGCATTTGCAAAGAGAAGCTTTTGGCTTTCAATTTAGATTGTTAGGATCAGAGCTCTGCTCCCATGCAGCAGTTTCAGCAGTCCCAATAAGTCCCCAAAGGGCAGGCAGGCTATCCTCTTTCTGCTAGATTTTGGGGACATCGTTCATCATCTTCGGGAGAATAGCCTTTGCTAGGGAACTCCACACAGCCCCTGGGATTTCAGCCTGGCTGCAGTCCCAGTGCTGAGCCCAGTTAGCAGCAGTGTCCCGAGCATGGACTGAGCCCCGGGGTCCCCAGCCGAGGCAGCAGGCGCCGCGCAGGAGGGGAGCCAGCCCCAGGCAGGCGCGGAGGTGTGGGAGAGCCAAGGGGTGCACCACACCCAAACACCTGGGAGCTCCAGAAACCCGCTCAGGGACCTCAGATCTGGGGGTAAGAAGGAATACTTGGTCTAAAAATCCCAGCAGAACTCTGACGCTGGGCTGAGCTTAGCTTGGCTCTGGCAGAAGGGAATGTGGGTGCTGCTGAAGATTTGTCTGTGCTGAAGACATCCTCCTGAGGAAGGCTGAGTTTAAGCATGGGGATATGGTGACAAGGAGGCTGGGGAAGGAGGATGGAGACCTCTAGCCTCTGCAACAGGCTGGGCAAGAGCTTGAGCTCAGGACAGACAGCAGAGAGAGGGAGCGACGCAAGGGGAAAGTAAGCCATCCTTGACTGCCTCACAGGCATCACTACGCAGATAAAGAATGGAGCGGAAAAGCTAAACCAGGCAGGAATTCACCACACTTGCCAAATCGCGGGCTGTGCCCAGCCAGCCCATCATGCATGGTTTCCCCAGCCCCTCTCAGCCCCCGCAGCTGCCCCACTGCTCAGAGACAAAACCTGGCTACCCCACAGAGCTCGTGACAGTGGGTTTCTGCTTCTCCCCAAAACCCAGCCAGGCTGACGTCTTCCCTGATGGCTCAGTCCACTCCCATGCACTAAAGCAGCAGTCTGTCCCTTCACGTGGGGTTGAAGGCTTCTCCCATGCATGACGAATGACATACTCCCCTCTGCCAGCTCCTTTTATTTTTGTTTTGCCCATTGCCAGGCACCGTAAAGAAGGTCGCAGGGCCTTGTTTATCCGCGCTATTTGCTGGTAACTCTGATAACAGGTTTTTGAACCCCATGCATTAGAACAAGTTTGCAGGTTTAACATCTGGCTGCAAACGTGGTGTACCACAAAGCGCGGCAGCCAGAGATGGAGGTCTGGCTCCCTGTCACGTGGCTGCAGTTTTTGGCTGGTCCATCTCCTTTGCTGAGGGAGTTTTGCATATGGAAAACTGGAAAGATGCAGGAAGACATTAAGGGCTGCTTGTGTTTGAACTCAGCGATACCACAGTGACTTTAAAGGGACCGTCCTGGATTAGAGACAACAGGAAACCGAGACCAAATTTCTACCCGAACAAAGAGGAGTGATTTAAAGCATAGCGCATGAGCAAGATTTGTACAAGAGACCATAAGGATTAAAGAGCCCCAGACATGCACCAATGCTGCTGTCACTGTGCAAGCTGCCGGAAATCATTAGTTGGGTGCCCAGGTCCTTCCTGTCTCCAGCAAACCCCAGTGGCAGCAATTTCCCTGAGGCTCACGGGTTTCATCATGTGGGTGAGGGTTCCCAAAGCTAGCACGGTGCTTGGGGCTTCCTGAGATGAAACCCTGGGGGTGGCAGCACAGATGGAAAGTCAACTAAGAAATTAATTAAATGCAGCTTGCAAGTGGCATGGGGGAATGGGCATCACTGCAGAGGGCATGAATACATTCCCCAGTTATTTCCCTGTCCTTCAAAAAAATCAGGGCACACGCTTTCCCCTGCTTGGTCCCGAGTGCCTGCAGTCCCCACAGCCCAGCCCTGTCAGTGGGATGGGCATCCCAGTATAACCAGTAGTTGTACTGGGAGAAGGGGCTGGGGAAAGCTGCACAGGGGCAGGGCAGCGAAATGCATCTCTGGCACTGAGGCACACAGGTCGAGGGGCTCAATTTCAGGCCAGCAGTTAGAGGCTGAGCCAGGACTGTGGGAGAGGAGGAGATCATCCTGCCACACCTAATCCTAGCAAAAACTCCTACGTAATTGCTGACCGAGCTTTATTGGCATTTAGTGTTTTTATCCTGGGTCATCAAGATAAGCTCAGCTTTCCCAGAAAGTAACTTCTCTTGTTGGTAGCAAAGGCCCCTGAGCATCCCCTCACCCCTGTCAGCTGAGGCTGTTCCTGCATGCTCCTCCCATGCCGCATCTCTCTGCCTGCAAACCAGCTGGGCCATCTCAGCACCTCTTGCTGCCTCCCTGACATAACTTTGCTTATTACTAAATATTAACTCATCAGATCTAAAGAGGGAGGTGAAAGCCACACACAGCACCTTCAAGGCAGCACGACATCAGCATGCACGTGCCACATGCTCCTGGGCTAGTGTGAGTCAGTGGCAGAGATGGGGACACATTCTAGTGCCAATGCTCTGGTCCAGTTTTCCCAGTAACACGGCGTCCTCCTTCGTTGTAGGTTTGGGAGATCTTCGAGTGTCTGGCAGCGACGCTGACAGTAATCACCTCTGCGGGAGGTGACTAAAACCAAAGAGAAGGAAAGACGACGAATCCACAAATGACAGGGAAAAACAGCTGTCCCATTGGGAATCTTCACTGTAGAGGTGCTTTTTGGGAGCTTAGTGGGAAGCTGTAATGACTGAGGTTTCACACATTGCTTATGCTGAATCTCTCTTCAGCCTTTTTTGAAGTATCCCAGGTATCAGCAACTAGCTCCAGAAGCTGGGACACCGGGTGGGAGGAAGGGACAGCAGTGAAGGTGTCGTGCTCCTGGAGCAGCCCCTTGCACATCAGCCAGCCCAAGGCTATTTCACCCCCCACTGGTGTGTCCCTTGGTGCTGGGACCTGAGCCAGCACAGCCCCCTGCTGCAGCACGAGCCTCCTCTTGCCCCCAGGAAGAGATGGCCGCCCTCATTGCTGAGAACTTCCGCTTCCTCTCCTTGTTCTTCAAGAGCAAAGACGTGATGATCTTCAATGGTTTGGTGGCCCTGGGCACTGTGGGGAGTGAGGAGCTTTTCTCAGTTGTTGCCTTCAATTGCCCCTGCTCCCCTGCCCGCAACTACATCTATGGGCTGGCTGCCATCGGTGTCCCGGCCCTTGCTCTCTTCCTCATTGGTGTCATCTGGAACAACCACACCTGGAACCTGGTGGCCGAGTGCCAGAAGCGTGGCACCAAGAATTTCTCTGCTGCTGCCACCTTTCTCCTCTTCGGCTCCATCATGGGCCGGGCAGCTGTGGCACCTGTCACCTGGTCAGTCATCTCGCTGCTGCGCGGGGAGGCTTACATCTGTGCCCTCAGCGAGTTTGTCAGGCCATCCTCCCTCGACAAGTTCCCAGCTGAGTATGGGGCCGAAGTGCTGGCCAGATTCCCCTGTAAAGACGTGCCAGCAAACCTCACCAAGTTCAGGGATGAGGTGACGCGGAGGCTGAGATATGAATCCCAGGTAGGTATGCTGAGGAGAAAGCCACAGAGTGGGTAAGACCACCTTGCTGTGTCCTAACGCAGCCTCTCTATTCTCTCTCAGCTCTTTGGCTGGCTGCTCATTGGCATTGTCGCGGTCCTGGTTTTCCTCACCAAGTGCCTGAAGCACTGCTGCTCGCCACTGAGCTACCGGCAGGAGGCTTACTGGGCCCAGTACCGCTCCAACGAGGACAAGCTGTTCCGACGCACAGCCGAGGTCCACTCCAGGATCCTGGCAGCCAAGAACGTGGAGCACTTCTTCGGCTTCGTGGTGCTGGACAAGGAGGAGAAGGAGCTGGTGCGGGAGTTCCCGGTGGAGGGTGTCCAGCCGAGCCCTCAGTGGAACGCCATCACAGGCGTCTACATCTACCGGGAGAACAAGGGCTTTCCCCTCTACAGCCGGCTCCACAAATGGGCCAAAGGGGTGGAAGGGAACGGGCCAAGCCCGGAAGGCCATGAAATGATCTTTTTGGCTTCCTAAGGCAGTGAGACACTGTCAGACCGCCTTGGCAGGCCTACCAGTATCGGTGCGTGGCTGAGGGATTCACTGGGAATATTCCTCCCAGCAGGATTACTTCTCTCAGCAGGTAAATAGGGATCAACAGCCTCAAGGTAGGGACTGATAAGCAATACACTGAGCTGGGGAACCCCTCCCTTGGAGACAACCGTCTCGTTGCTGCTCCCAGAGACACAAGGGGAGCAAAGAGCAGATGCACACCTAACCTGCGGGCTGCCAGTGCAACCTGCCAGCTGATGCACCAGCAGAAGCCTTGGGGAACAAGAGATGGGCATGATATTTACAACCGTGACTCCTGCAGTCCCACTTGTTTTCCCCCATGGCAAGGTCGGCCCCAGCCATCCTGCACACCTGCTTGTTTTATTGACATTGTTATTTTCTTACACAGTTGTGCGGTGCCTGTGGTCCTGGAGCACTTTACACACTTCACAGCACAGGGAAAAGAGGGAAGCAGTGGGTAAATTCCTGTGGCAAGGGGGTTGCACCTGAGAAGGATGGGTCAGTAATACTGCAGCACACCAAATAACAGAGACTAAGGCAAGAGGAATCACCAATATTCCCAGTGTTCAGGAAGACGCTCTGTAATTACCAAGTTGGAATTTGGGTTGGACACCAAACTTCCTTTGTTCTTACTGAAGTGCCTGGCAATCTCTAATGAGCCCAAATGGTCACAGCCATGAGTTTATAAACCCAGAAGATGGCACCATCAGCAGAATAGCTTTCAGGCGAGGTGGCAAGTGGAGGCTGAGAGGAAGCAGTACCTGCAGTGAGCCACACCACTGTCAGCAGCTCACTGCATTTCTCATCCAACCATTGGATGAGTCCTGCTTGTTTGGGTTGTGAGTTGCAGCGAGACCTCAACCACCATTAGTTTTACATATATGTATATATACACAGATAAGATAGATAGATAGATAGATAGATAGATGTATGTATAGTGTATATACTATGTAATTGTAGTTAGCTGTATTAATGGAGCATCTTTCTTCAAGGGAAAGGGGATGAGAAAGCTACCAGCCGAAAGACCACATTACATGCACCCATCTGCTGCACTGGGACTACAGCCCTGGAGCAACAAGGGACAGTGGGAACAGGATGAAGAGAGCAACACTCTCCCTATTTCCACTGCTTTAAATGGTCCCTGCTGCAGAAGGTCTCTTTTATGGACTTGACCATACCCTGAGAAAGCAAAGCCAGAAAGGTATAAAATTACTGCCCTCGCCATGACACTGCTGAACTATGGCTTCAAGGCTGCAGAGTCCCTTTTCTCCTGAGGGTCAGCCCTATGTACCCAACACTGTTTCAAGAGTTGGCAGGACAATGAAGTTTGCTTTTCCCACTTGTACTGTTTCTTTACAGGTACAAATTCCTTTCACACTGTGCCATTTACCAAAAAGCCTAAAGTTGTTCAAAAAACTACTCAAACCCACAGAACTCAGGGGCTTACACACAAAGAGATTTTAAATAAATTATTAAATGAGAGTTATTTTTCACTGCCTTCTGAGGTTTTCTTCATCAGGGCTGCACAAAAGGCATAATTTTAACATTCTCTTTGAACTCTAGGACTGGAAACTTATTTTTTCTTTCTATTAAACATTCAGATCCTCTCCTATACACAACCCCAGAATGTGAAATTTAAAAGTATTACCACATAATACAAGTTGGTAACATTGCTTTTTAGTTATTCTGACAGTGAGTAGCACAAATGTTGTACATCAGGATCCATAATTGCAGCAAAGGATAGAAAATGTATTTAGAAACTTTTTTACAAATGCATCCCCTTGCAAGAAAGAGCTGGAGGGTATTCCCTCGCATAAAGAGGCTGGAACACCGCTTAATGGGTGAGGTATCCCAGGATCCCTGTTGAGCTTCTCTACAGATTTGCCTTGCATTTGTGGGAAGGCTTGGCTCCCAGCCCCACCATCAGCTAATCTGCAAGAACGATCAGATGCAAGTCAAATGAAATTGCATTAACTTGAGATGAAACAGAGTTCATTTACATTTCTTCTCATTGGCCCTCGAGTGAGAACATGCAGACACGCATGCCACCCCCGCACACAGGTCAGCAGATGCAAGGTAACTTGCTGAAACAAAGCAGCGTTCCTCTTACTTCCTTTACTTCCCCTGCCTTCCTCCTTGATAGTCCTAGCTGTTCCTTTGAACCACCTCCACTCCTGTTCCTTCTCCTCCCCTTCCCTCCTTTGAAGGAAAGAGGCAAGACACGTAATGCTTGGGAATGGATTTGTTTATCCTAAGAATAAACAATATGCACAAAACAACTTTTGCTGTTTACCTCCCGTCTCTTCTCCATTAACTCCAGCCGCTTTCCATGTGCTGGGAGGGGCTAGGGGCTCATCCAGCTTGTCCATCTTCCCTCCTTCTTGTTGAAGAGGCATGTTTGAGTGGACAGCTGACAATGACGAGTGGAGAAAGCTACCACACTCAGAAATACTTGCTTGCAATTGCAGGGATTAATTTTTTTTTCCTTCCTCTCCTCTGCTGTCCTGAGCATGGCCCCCACTGAGACTGCCCTGGGCTTCTGGCCCTCGTAGCCCATCAGCACCCTCATGAATATCCCTGCTGTCCCTGTCACTCAGGGACAGGGTGAGGTGAGGGACATTAACCGACATGGCTTTACACACCAGCACAACCAACCAGGCTAGGCTTCCCATCAAAATGCCAAGAGGGAAATTGAGCTGCCTGTCTTCCTGACATGCTGGATCATGCAGGCTGCAAGAGGAGCTCTCTGCTTTTCCTCCAGAGGCCAAAACCAACTCCATTGCAGAGCAGCCTAGAGGTTATCAGTTAGGGCACACTTCCCAGCAGCAAGCTGGGTTCAAACCAGGCTCCTCCAGTATGGAAAATTACACACAGGATTTTTATTTCCCCTGCTGACTACTGTAGAGACTATAATAACCCCAGTAGTCAAGAAGAAACAATACCTCAAAGGGATCTTGGTTTCTATTGCAACGCTTATTTATGTATTCTAGTACATAACTAATTAATCTAAAAGAAAAAGCCACCATTGTTGCAGCTGTGTTCTTAAAAAAAAAGCAGCAGTTGCTACTGGATGTTGCAAGCAGCCTTCTCCTCTAAAAGAGCATTAAGCAAAATCTGAGTACCCTGCTGTCCCAGGGGGCAATAAGTGAAATGACTTGTTTCTGGATCCCAATGGACTTGTGGATGAGTTAAATGCTGAATCATTCAGCCTTGCCAGCACTGGGCATTCACAGAGGCAGAAGAGCTGGGTCCTGCAGAGCTCAGGTTTTGAGCTCAGAGTACCTACAATGAGTAAGACTCTTCAGGTTTGGTATTTCAAAACTGGGCACCCACTTGACAGTGTCTGCATTGGATTATCACATCTGTTTGCACACCCTGCTTTTCCCCTTGCCTTCAGTTCTTTTGTAAAACATGTGAATGATCACATCCACATCTTACCAGAGTTACAAGAATATGGATCATAAGGCACTGACACCAGTGACAGAGCTTACGTAAGTACCCAAGATACCTGGCTTTTTCCAAGGAGAAGGTTAGATTGGGATGACTTTTTCAGCACAGAAAAGACACTTGTTTTTTGAGTTCACTGATTTCTCTTAAGAGATAACAACTACTAAAAATCACTGCTTTTTCTGTCATCAATCCCTTGTTATGACAGATAGTTGCGATCAGGGGATCCATTGCAACTGCATGATGTGGACTTTAAAGGCATATGCACTTTCAGCTAAAGAGGACAAGAGCATCCTGGGCTATGTTAGGCAGAGCATTACCAGCAGGTCGAGGGAGGTCATCCTTCCCCTCTACTCTCTGGTAAGAAAACTGGGGTGATGTGTCAAGTACTGGGCTCCCCAGTACAGGAGATATGGGCTTACTGGAGTGAGTCCAGCTGAAGGACAGAAAAATGATTATGGGACTTGAGTATCCATCATACAAGGAGGGGCTGAGCAAGCTGTGGCTGCTCAGCTTGAGAAGAAAGCTCAAGGTGGATCTTATTCATGTATATAAATACCTGACACAAGGATGCTAAAAGTGTAACCAGACTCCTCTTAGTGGTGCTCAGTGACAAGAGGAAATGTGCACAAATCAAAATATAAAAAAACCTTCATTTAAATGTAAGAGAACACTTTTTTTACTGTGAATGTGGCCAAACATTGGAACAGGTTGCCCAGAAGAGGTTGTGGAATCTCCATCCTTGGAGAAATCAAACCCAGACTGGACGTGGTCCTGAGCAACCTTGTCTAGCTGACCCCAGCTTTGAGCAGGGGTTTAAACCAAATGATCTCCAGAGGTCCCTTTCAACTTCAACTATGCCACAATTCACAATTGGTTCTGCCAGGTTCTAGGAACATAAAGGCACTTGAGATTAATCTTTCAAAGTGTTAGTTCAGCCAAAAGGCAAAAGTCTTCTCTGCCATCTTAACAGAGAGAAATCAATTTATAAGACATTGCTGTACTTAAAAATAGTGGGTCATAATTGCACCATTTCCCCAGGAAAGTAGAAAAGGTATGACTGATGTCTGTATTGATTATAAAACAGTCTATATTTAAAAATATCTCCAATGTCAACAGACTAGAATTATTTGTAACATTTAGACAAAGCTGCAAACATTTATAAAATCTTTTCCTTTGACTGATTGTTCTTTCTGGTTTGGTCACAGAATAATACCCTCCAGAAACTCACTGTCCGTGGACACCCACGGCAGAACTCCACACCTCTCAGTTCCTACACTGCATGGACAGCTGAGTCTCTCTGCTTTTACTTGCACCTTACTTAGGTGTCAGCAAGGGAACTCTTGGTCTCCACATACTCAAGTGCTGCTCTTTTAACAGCCAGAACACTGTCTGTTGTGCCAAATTTCTTCTCATAATCCAGGTAGCGTTTAAAGAAGAATTTCATCTTCTTTGGTGCCAGGCTCAGGTGTATGACCCTCTCAAAGATGTCTCTGCAAGAAACCAAAGTGATTCAGATCGCTGTGTTGGTGACAGCACTCAATACAAGCCCTGCATCCTGCCTTTGAACAAAGAACAGAAAGTCAGGGGAGACATTCAACTTGCTGCGAAGTGCTGTGTTTGAAGAAAGAGATTCTGAGCCAAAACCTCAAAGTAGAAGCCTTCTATTTGCTTGCAGAACTCTAAGGCTGCTGCTGGTTAACTTAAACTAAGATCCAGTGAGACTGTATATGACCCTGTGTTCATTAAGTGGATGTGGCTGTATCCATAGTGTGGGAGGCTGGACTTCCTTTTGTCAACTCTCAGAAAAGGGAAAAAAAAAAAGTTTCTCTATTTTTACGTTACAAGATACACAAGGACTTGATCTCACCCATCAGATAAAAGGCAATCAATCCCTCCAGAGGGACAGATGAACCTCAGTGCAAGTCCTCCAGTTTCTGTCACGCAGGATGCTACTTACAAATCAGCCTCCCTTCGCCCTATGGATCTCCCTGGAATCTCCTCAAACCTGGTAAGGATAAGCACTTCCACACACCCGTTTTCTTTCTCTAGGTGATAAAAATTCTCTTCAGGCCTGCACTGGGAAGCCCTATACAACTCATGCTGAAGGGTACCTCTGCTCTTTTCTTGCTTCAAGCACCGTACTCTGTTCCTTCCCAACCTGCTGTCGCACAACTCACCGTACTTCCTTCTGGCTGCCATGTTTGATCATGATGTCCATGTAGATGGACCAGATGTCTGTCCGCTTGGGATAGCTGCTGAGGGTGCTCTCAAATAGGGCCTTGGCATGTTCTGAGTCCCCAAAATGGAACTCCAGCTGTGCAAACCTTGAAATGGCATCCACATCTGGAACAAGAAATGACATGTTAGGTATCACACCACCTCTCTTCCCTATGAATAAACACAAGTGATAATTACACAGAACAGAGGCAGGCACACAGCAGCATCTCTACCCAGAGACAAAAGTGTCTGTTGTAAAGTGGTTCTGGAACAAGGTGGGATCAGAGTGGGAGAAAGAAGGGTTAGAGTTCACTTCCCATTTCAGTTCTCTGCAGGACACAGAAGTTTACTCTTAAATTCAAAATGCATCTTGCAGCATACACAGGCAGCCCCACAAACCTGGGACGAGACCAGATGAACTTTTCTAGAAGGCTGTAAGACTCAAAGGAGTCTTTCT